CTTTTAATTTTAGATAATAATACATTTTGTTATGAGAATGATTAGAAGTGGATGGTGCTTCCCACTGCAGTGGCCGTGGTGGAAAAAAAAAAAAAGTTGGAAAATCAAGTGTTGATGCAGACACAGCCTGGCTGGAGGTCCTGTGGGTAGAGATGTGTTTAGTTTGGATGCTGTGTGGTGGTATCTGAAGGCCGAGCAAGTGCAGTCCAAGACCTAAGACCTAACTGCTCCTTCTCAAGAAAGCACCTGGTAGAACCATGTGCAAATGTTCATCAGAAGACGCGCGCAAGACTGTATTAGCAGTAGCCCTGAGCTGGAAGCTGCCCACATGCCCGCCAGGAGTGGGTAGATAGACTGTGTTCCAGTACAGTGATGTGTGGCAGTGAGAATATACAACTGTGTCAGCAGGATGGTTAAATATCACACAGGTAAGGTCGATGTGTGTGTTTCCTATACTGTTGAGATATTTAGCTAGCTGGGAGTCCCTGTACTCGGGAGGCTGAGGCAGGAGGATTGCGAGTTGGAGGCCAGCCTGTGTTACCTAGGGAGACCCTATCTCAAAAAAAGAATAGAAATGGTGATATTGATCTATGCATATAGGTTTCTTTAAAAGCTGTTGGTACCCTGCTTTGTTGGGTAGGTCAGGGTACTGAAAATAGGCTCAAAACGTAATGGCACACAAAGATGGCAGAAGTGTGGTTTTTGCTCACACAGCAGTCTAGGGTACACATTCCAGACCGGGGTCAGGCAGGGCCTGTTTCTACTCAGTGCATCCTTCAGGACTTGGGCCAGTATCAACTCTGCCATCTTTAGCACATAGCTCGAGGCTCAACTGCTCACCTTCTGTTGCAGAGGTGCAGTCATGACTGCACCACCCTGTTGAGTGACGGGGAGAGATGTGGGAGTCCTGCACAGGCACCTTCTTCTCGATTCCTTTCTCATGTTCTAGTACACTGTGCCTGTCTGTTGTGTCAATGGACACACTTGTCACTGCTGTGCTAATGGCAGCGGATTATTTCATTGAACAGATTTTTGCTTTTGTCAACAGTGATACAGAGGGGAACCTTGATAAGAAAATTGCTTTCATAGGATAAATTATTAGCAGTAGATCAATAGGGTCAAAAAGAAAGCAGGCCTACTTTTGAGGTCAGTCCCAAGTTGGTCTCCAGACAGTCGTCAGTGTCCATTTCTGTCTGTTATCAAACAAACAGAAATGTTTAATTGATTTAAAAATAGACTCTATTGTGTGTATTTGAGGCTTATAAGATGACGTCATGGGATGCATATAGACAGTAAAAATGATTAGACTTATGTGTCACCTCACACCAGAGCAGCTAAAGTCTATTACTTACTTAAGAATTCTAATAAAATGCAATTTTATTAACTATAGCCCTTGAGTTAAGTGATTCTGAGTAAATTAGTTTTGCCCTTGGCATTTTCCATATCATTTTGTTCTTGCCAGCAAAGTGTTTGTTCTAATGTAGTCAGATCTGTCACTCTTTCTTTTCTGGGTTCTGCTTTTGGTGTCATGCTGAATTTACCCTTAGGTCATAAAAATAGCCCTCTTGGGGCTGGGGATGTAGCTCAGTGGTTGAATGTTTGCCTAACATGCATGAGGCCCTGGGTTCAATTCCCAGTTACCTCCCACAAAAAAAAAAAACAGCCATCTTTCCTTCTAAGTGTTTATACTTTGCTGTTTCCACTCCATCTGGAAATGACCTTACCTATAGAACCCAATTTTAGTTTTTGCCAAATGATAGTTTGGCTGTCCCAGTAGCATTTTTAATGTAAGACTGTTTGAACTCTATATAAAACTATTGAAAAGTTTTAAAAATATCTTTATGATTAACGATTAGGATGGAGTAGATAGGAAGTATCAGCTGAAGCAGATGAAGCCATATTGCCTCAAATAAGAAGCAGAACGCCTCCTCCCCCAGGCAGTCAGTGCTTCATCATGGACAAGGTCAGCTGCCTTCCATTGACTCAGAGGTGCAGCATCCTTTTAGATTAGGCAAATCAAATCTCCATGCTGGTCCACAGGGGACCATGCTGGTCCCCAGTGATGGGTTTGCCATCTAATTTGTTTTGGGATTATATTTGGCTGCTACCTTATCTGCTCTTTTTTTTTTTTTTTTTTTTTTTTTTGGTGGGACTGGAGTTTGAAGCTCAAGAGCTTTGCACTTGCAAAGTGGGCCCTCTACGACTTGAGCCACACCTCCAGTCCATTTGCTCTGGTTATTTTGGAGATGGGGGTCTCGTGAACTATTTGCTTGGGCTGGCCTTGAACCAAGATCCTCCCAAGTCTGAGCCTCCCAAGTAACTAGGATTGCAGACGTGAGCCACCAGTACCCGGCTCTTCATCTGCTTTTGATGCCATCTCTCACCGAGATTAGTGTCCCTGCCTGGCTGGGTGCTGACTGAAATTGAAAGAGTCTAATTACTGGAAATTGAGATTGTGACTGCTTTAGAGACTGGGTTTTTCTTCATGAGCATTTCTGTCATGTAATGTGTTTAATATGTGGGACTGTATTGAAGTCACTGGTAAAAATAACCGAAATCCTTGAGCCTGGCTAGATACTGTGTTAACATCATTTTCCCTGGGATTCCATGACACACTTGGTTGGAGCAGGTCTGCATGTATGCAGCCGTCGCAAGGTCTAAGAGAGGTGGAAGGGAACCTTTCTTGCTTGCCTGCTGTGCTTCTGTTGGTCTCATGCACAAGCTCTGGGAACAGAAAACAAAACTTGCACAAGCTCTGGGAACAGAAAAACAAAACTTGGTTGCTGGAGGAATAGCCCAAGCGCCTGCCAGAACTACCTGCCTAAACCTCCCAGGCTCACAGTTTGTATTTGTCAAAGTACAAACTTCATCAAAAGAAGCTGTTTATTATGAGCCTGCCTCTTGTGAGGACTGCTGTACAGCCAGCTTGTGGGCACCATTGGAACCCCGGCCACTGGCAGTGGGAGCCTCTGCAGTCTCTGGAGTGCAGCCACTGAGACTGCACGGCTCTGCCCATCTCTCCACCCAGGTCTCAGTCCCCAAGGAAGAACGTGATGATGGATGGGAGGATGGAGCCAGAGGTAGTGGATTGAATTGTATGAATTGGCTAGTCCCAGACTGTTCTTGACCCTGCAAGAGTACAGCAGAGGCACAGCTTAATGCTCCAGCCTGATAGCAGAGGGGTTCTTACAAAAGAGCTGGAGAGCCCTGAGGTGGTAACAATAAGCCACACTCGTGGTCCTTTTATCATCTCAGCTCCATGGATCTCAGATTCCTTACACTCCTTTCTGTCTTGTGGCACAGCCCATAAGACCCCTAAATCTGGATCAGCTTTCCTCTCCAGGGAAGGTAGATACTGCTGGGGAAAGTGATAGCTCTTGATGCTGCCCTGTCCTCCTTGTACTTGTCCTGTATGGCACCTGTGGTCATAGCATTAGTCATGGTTCTCCTTAGTACAGGCGTGCTCCTGTTCTAGTTAGACGGTGTGGTACCAGTTAGTGGAGAGACTGAATTCTCCTTCATACCAGACGAAGTCTTCTATGTGTTGTTCCCTCCCTCCCCCTGCTCTAGAAGGACTTGTTGATTTCCTCAAAATGTAGATTTTAATCCATAAAGCCATGTGTTTTGAATAGAGACATCTTCAGATTAGCTTCAGGATTAAAATGTTTTCAGATCAACAGAAAGCCATCTGCTGGCTGCCATTTTACTTTGTTTATGCTGAAAGTATTCCCTTTGGTTGGTTTAATGGGGCTTGAGATTCACTTTTCTTTGAAATTGTGTATTTGGATTTGATTCCTGGAAAAAAATTCTTTTGTGTGCAAATAGGTTATTCTAGCACAAACTAAAAGTTCACAGTTTGTACAATTAAAGTAAGCTATATTTTTTTACTCTGCAAATGAAACAAATCAATCATGGCAAGTGCATTTGTGGAAACTACTAGACTCTGAATTGAAGGCAGTTTATTGCATTGATTTACAAAGAAATAGTTCTGTAGCAATTCCTGTTGGGTGGGAGAAATGAAATTGGTGCCAGAATATTTGTTGCTATAGTTGGATCTTGACTGTCCTCCAGAGGCCTGGATGCTGAAGGCTTGACCCCTAGTCTGTGGCACCATTGGGAAACAGTGGAACTCTTGGGGGTGGGGCCTAAGGGAAGGGAGTTAGGCTATTGAGTGTGTGCCCTTGACCAGATATTGGGGTCCTGGCCCTTTCCTGTCCCTCATTGCACCCTGGCCACCATAAGGGAGCAGGTTTCCTCCACCATATGCTTCTGTCAACTTGGACTGCCTCTCCATGGACCAAAAACCAGGGGACCTAAACAAGCCTTTCTTCCGTTCAGGGTGTTCATCACAGGTGTTCTGTTACAGTGATGGAAAGCAGACTAGCACTCGTCTTTATTTAAATTCACTTAAAAATCTGCATCTCCCCTGTATTCCCCCACTGTGTACACTCACACGCCACACATTCTGGTTTTCATAATGCTACTTTTCAGATAGTAACAGCAACAAGAACGAGCCCTTCAGATGAGAGGACAATGACAGTAATGGCAGCAATAGGAGCAGAGAGCACCAAGTTTTGAGCTGTCCTATATGAGTGTTTGTCTTCAAAAACAAGGCAAGAGACAAACAAGCAATGAGTAAGTAGTGGGTTGATAAGTGGAGACAACTGGGTGAAGTGGGGAGAGTCAGGTTTTGGGATCAGTGGGACATGTATTTGAACCCCAGACCTAATTCTAGCCATGTCTTTTTCTGTAAAGTGGAATTAACAGCTGCCGTTAAGATTGGAGTGATATTTTTAAAGGTAATGACACCTTAGTAATACTCCAACTTAAACTTAACGGAAGTATGTATTTCTTGATTTGTTCCAACCAATTGTGACCAATAGATAATATATTAATTTATTATGTGAACATTAATATTATAATCTGTTTATACCAAGTCCTAGGAAAACGACGGCAGAGCATACTGTTCTCTAACACTACGATATCACATTCACTACAAGTGTGAAAAGAAATTGAAGACAGCGGATCCGGAGCATGATTATGGCTGTGCATGCGCCACGCGTATGACTAAGACCAACGCGCCGTTCCGGAAGAAATGGTTCTACAGCCCTACTTCTACCATCGCAGCGTCGTGCCCGAACAACTCGTAAAGGGCAAGACCAGTGTCCTGCAGTTCTCGCGCTAATGCATCTTTGGAACAACTAGAGAGAAAGAGGTTGTCAACTCAGAGGTAGGCGCCTAAGATTAACACCAGGAAGCCAACACAAAGAAAAAAAAAAAGTTTGTTCTTCTAAAGCCAACCAACAAACGTGAAATAATAATGAATGAAAATGACGATGCGCATATACTGACACTGACTCACTGGCTGACCTGATCCTGTGAGCATGAAGGAACGGAACCTGGTGCCCCATCCACTGCCCAGGACTTGGCGAACGGACGCCTCTTCACAGTCTCCTGCTCCATCCAGTTTCAGAGAAATGTTAGAAACCGACGACTCAGCCGCCCCTCCGGGGCCTGCCGAGTGACAGAGAGCTGAGCTGGTCAACAGGGTGAGACCTGCAACCAGGAAACCCACACAGTGACAAGAATAATCATCAGGAACAGTGAGTTTGTCCAATCGATCCAAAGGACATCTCACTGGAGAAGAGGAAGGACAGAAGGTAAGACTCCACATTTTTAAATTATTTATTCATGTCACCAAGAGTTCAAATCGAGGAATAAAGGTGAGCCTGGTTTCAAAGCCTGCAAACAGTAAATGTGCACACATACGGCAGCTGGTCAAACACCAGACTCAGAAATAAGTTGTACATTTGGAGAAGCCCCATTGTAAGGATTTTTCTTTTTGCAGAACCATGCATTATCGCTCGACAATCTTAAAGGGTACTCAGTCATTAGTGCTGATCCCCGCCTGGTAAGATACCATCAGTCATCCCATTCAGGGGCCGACGTATCTTAGACTAGTGCTTGGATCAAGCATTTTGTTGGCATGCTGCATCACTACAGTGCTTTTACTTCTTTTTGGTGTAACTTTCTGCTCTCGCTTTTTGGTAACCTAGTTTGTGTCAATATCTCATCCTTGAGCTGGCAGGCCTTAGGCACTCTGCTAGCAGGGTGCTCTTATCTTCACAGTTAAGAAGATCCCATATTCTTGCACACTCATCCGACGCGCCGGGTGTGACGAAGCATTTGCCATTGTTAAGAGGGGTGTGGAGTTAGAAACCATGAACAGTTACAGTCACTACACACCAGATAGCACAGAATGAGAAAACGACAGCAACCACCAGGAACAGAAGAACCTGATAGTATCTGAACAGGAACAAGAGAGATACGGGCGAATCTAGATCAGTGCTTTTATGCTCGGTATGTGTCACTTATCTCGCATGTAGCTAATATGCGGCGCCTCAACCCTCTTTTCTACCCACGCCTCTAGAGGAAAACGGGGTGTCCCAGCGAGTGGAGGCAATACTAGCTACGTGCCAAGCTAATAGTAAGAACAAGCCAGAGGTGATGATAGAGAGCCCCGTCCCAACCTATTGTCATCGCTGTCCCTTTCCTTTTAACATGTGACATTGATAACAAACCACAGCGAGCGGAAAGAATCGAGTGAATATGCTGTTACTGTTTTTCATTCGATGTAGCTAGCTAGATATCCAAACAAACCCTCATTCATGACAGCTACTTGGCCGATGGAACAAAACCAACCAGGTCAAACACCAACGATACCTTCCGACCTCCCAGGTTGGCTCTAACTGGAGGATGAATTTCTTGGTGCGCTCTTGGAACTTTAGCAAAATCTAGCCCATGTATAATGGCATCTATGCCTGTGGAAATGCTCTTGTCTGAGTGGCACCGAGCGAAGTTGGGAGTTAGGACAAGTAACCGCGGTAAAAACCATTTGACACGTGGGGACTGGCAGGCAATCGAGAAGATTTCCTAATCTCGCACCTTTCTCTTTCATATGGCTTTACTTATGCAAATGTAGGAATAATCTCTCAGGAGTAGTATACTATGAGTAGTGTATACATGAATATGAGGAGCAGTGTTCAGAAGGGAGAATGGCATACCGTTTTCACTTAGGTTCTGCTTACTCTCGCTGTACCACTCTGCATCCAAAAAGTTAGGAATGGAATAGGGAAGGGGGATGCCCAGGTAATATTGTTATTGTCCGAAGAGAAAGCTATACATAATGAATAAAATCCTGCGATCACCAATTGAACAACAATCAGACCCTAGTAATAAGCATGCAATACCTTCTCATTGGTTAGCATGGCTACTGACAAAGTATTCTATTGATTTGTGGGCTCATACCCTCAAATCGGTAACCCTAGTACCTTAAAGTTGCAGAACCTCCAGCCACCCCACGACGACGTGTTAGAGGGAAAAGCCTCTGGGGCATGTGTCAAGGTCATTTACTAGGCGCGATTTGCTTAACCCAGTGCCGTTGTGTTCATTCAATCCAGGAAGGAAGGCAGAAACGTACAAAAACCCGGTCAGTCCTGCCGGCCTAAGGATCAGAGGCGGATATTGGAAGATCCCCTCTAATGGTGAAAGTTAATGAGGAAAAAACGATGTTAGTCACTCGTCCGGGCGTCAAAATTGCCTGCAGGACGTAGCCAAGGCCGATCTGGGTATTCTACCGTCGAAAAGACCATGGGCTTATAACTCCGTCGTTAATCCCGCGCCTTACCGAATAAACACTATAGGCAGGCGCACCGGAAAAGCAAAGTAGCACCTGCTCGCTTACTGGCGCCAGAAATAGAGGGCTTTAGATGGTACCTTATTCCGTATCTTCGTCACCTGGCTAACTGTGTGCGGGTATAACTAAAAAAGGCCACACACAGCTAGGAGATACCGACATACTAAGTCGCCGTGCTGTAGTTGCCGAGCGGACCACAAGAAAGAGTATGGAGAGCGTTGGATGCACTGCATAAACTGTTGCTGTGTCTTTTGGTGTTTGGCTAATCAGACAATTGCAGAATTTCATAAAATCTTTAATCAAGTGATGGTTTGTTTTCTACATTTGAGATGTAAAATGGAAATAGTAGTTAAAATGAACAATTGAGCTATTTCTCCTGTCCTTTTCCTTTCCCCTGTTATAGAGAGAATCCCCAAACACTTTGGTGTGGCTCATAGGGGACATGCTAGAAAGAAGTAGCTTCACCCTGGCTTGAGGACTGGCATGTCCGTTATGCCTAAACAGACTGAGAGGATAAGAAAAATAGATAACAGGTGAGCGCTGTCACTGTGAAGACTTTATGGAAACTGTGGAGGCCATCGGTTTCTTTGCCTTTGGGAAGACTAAAATTTTTTTTAATATAAGAATGAAGAGGGCTCCAATATTATCTGTGGGCTAAAGAGTGCTTGGTGAAGAGCTGGGCTGTGGCTCATGCATGTTTGTTCCCTAAACAACCCCCAGCCACCCCCCCGCCAAATTCTTTTAAACAGAATGTTTGGTGTAGCTTTCTACATGTTGTGTGAATTTATAGCTATATATTTATTTTGAAAAAGAACAAAGTATGAGGATTCATATTGCCTTGATTTCAAAACTTACTGTAAGTTATCAAGACAGCATCAGTGAGAAGAAGGTAAATAGAACCATACCTACTGGCCAAAAGAAGCCCCACGTACATGGTCAGTACGCTATTTTTTTTTTGAGGGGGAAGAGGAGGCAAAGATGCAAAGACATTGCAATGGAAAAGGTTAGTCTGTTGTCACGATAGCCCTAGCACGTCTGGACATTCATAGAACAGAGAGAACTTTTTCTCTTACCTTATATAGTTTATATAAAAATAAAAATAGGGCGGAGATGAAGGTCAGTGGTAAAGTGCTTACCTCGCATATACAAGGCCCTGGGTTTGATGGCTAGCAATGAAATGCAATATACACCTAAATTTGAAACTATAAAACTGCTAGAAGAAAACATCAGATAATCTTTGTGATCTAGGGTTAGGTAAAGATTTCTTAGCGATGACACCAAAAGCATAGTTTGTAAGTAGAAAAAAATTGGTAAGTTGAACTCCTCAAAACTGACAATTTTTACTGTGTATAAAAGTTTTACTGTGTAAGTTTTTGCTCTGTATACATTTTACTATGTATAAATTTTACTCTGTGTAAAAGATTAAGAGGAGCAAGAGACAAGTGACTAGGAGAAAGCACTTGCAAATTGCTTCTGACTCCCTTTCATGTATACACACTCATATACTCACAATTTTGTCATCTGTTTAGGAAAAAAAATAAGTTTTAGTCCCCCCACTAATAGTTTCTAACCTCTGCCCATCAGCACAGTAAGAAGGCTGGTCCTCAGAAGAAGACCGGAGCCAGACATGATTGAGGCTGGGATGAAACCAGTGCTGGCTGGCACCAGCGGGGTTTTGTTACCGTTTCAATGGTGGTCGCGTGGTGCTATGGTGTTGTACTAGCACAGGTCACTCACTGTTTGAGGGTGTCACTGTCCCCCTAACTCTTTTAGCTCTGAGGAACATGAGCAGAAGAGGAACACCAGCCTGGAGGGTAGCCTTAAACCATGCTTGATTTATAGTAACCAACCCTATCATTTCAACACACACCACGTTTTTCCTTTAAGGCTGGGCACCGTGGGGGCCCAAGTTCGTGGCAGCAGTGACAGAAGGTCAAGAACTACTGTCCTGTGCTCTCTGCCATGAGAAACCAGGTCCTTAATTTCTCAGTGTTAGAAATGTGAGTTTTTTACCTTTCAGGTCATAGAAACTCAGGCTGCTATTGCTATAGCAATGATTTCCCCTATGGAAACTGAGTTTGAGATGATTTTTCCTAAACACAGTTTTTAAAACTATAAAATGAATAAGCATAGGCATTGTAGCTCAGAAATAATTCTCCAGATCACAAGAAAAGGGACTTGTTTTTAATAAATTCATCTGTAGAAGCATGAAAACCCAACCGAAGGTCTAATTTGATTTGTGGATATGTCTCATTTAATATAGAAGTTGAAAAAATAGCAATTAAAAAGTCATGATATTTGTCTGGCAACAAGAAGCTTCTAATAGCAGTGGGCTCTCAGAGCAGGGCTTTTTTATCAGTTTACTTCTGTTGAGGTACTCATAAAGTGATTATAAGAAGATTACATCAAAATTTGGAAGACAATGCTTTGAGCATATTTTCCCAAGTCCTAACT